AGTGGTTGGGAAAGTGCAACCTTGGCACGTAATATATTTTCTGTCCGATCTCTATAGCAATCGATACTATGTCATACTTACCTTCTCATACTTCCTTGTAAGCTTCTCATCTCTTTCTCTCTCTCTCTATGCCTCCCCCCATAGATATCTCCATATCTTTTTCTTTTTGTGGATGATCACAATGGACCTGCAGCTTACGCAGTATTTCGCCCGGTTGATGGTAAGTATACAGAGGCAATAAGGAGCGGCTGTTACTATCCAGCCTTACGATGGTGATATCATAGAGGAGGTGATGCAAATGTCACTTTTGTATCTGAAAAATTTTAAATAACTGAAACATGTTCTATAGTTTGCTGTTCTCAAAAAAATAAGGATAAGCAATTATCTGTTTAATTAATTTAACTCGGGTTGAAAATCAGTACCAAAAATTAATTTTTTCATGAAATTGACTTTTTTCGGTTGAAGTTTAAATTTTTTTTTATTATACAGATGTACAGTCGAATTCGGATAAGCGAACGCCGGTTTATCGAAAAAATCGGTTAATTGAAACTAAAAATTTTGAACGAATATTTCGGATGAAACACTTTACTTAAAAGAAAACCCGGTTAATTGAAACTCTGTATAAGAGAAGGAGTTTTTTGTTGCAAAAACACAATTATATATGAAACGAGCATCGTTTAAGAGAAAAAAATCATTTTTTGTAAATTTTAGTTTTTTAAAATTTGTATGTGCAACCCTAAAATTATGTTGCACATTTTTCCAACCATCCAAGAAAATTTATACGAAAAAATAAGTTCTTACTAAATTAATTTCATAATATGATTAATAAATTCCGCGATTTATTAGATATTGATTGAAAACTTCGTTTAAGAGCAACGAGTTTCGATTATCCGAAGTTCTTTTAATTGAAAATTCTTCTTAAGAGAATTTTTTTTCTGAAATTAGGCGTTTTCGCTTAACCGAATTCGACTGTATTTTAATCTTTGTTATTAAAATAATTAGTAAGTACTAAAAATGAAATAATATACGCGATTTACCATATATTTACCAATTTAAGAAAAAAAAACTGTACGTTTATTCAGTAAACACAAGTGCAGGTAATGTGGTATACCTTCAATCTGCATGAAAAAAAGCCAGCACAAGACAAAATCTCGTTACTATTTGAAACATTTGCCCTCTACGAGAGCCTACCATGAATCACAAGGATGAAAAACAATGGCTATGAGTTTTAACAACTTCTCCATACAAAAATTAAATAATGCCATATGTAGACATTATTATATAATAAAAACCAGTAAGGAAAGTAGTAAAGTCGGACGGTGCCGACTATATGATACCCTTCACCACTATGGGTATATTAAACAGGATTATTAACATGAAATTGAATGAAATAAAATATGTGATATTTATGTAAAAGTGCATCTACCTAGATCTATCCATAAAGTATGTAAATCGAGTTCAAACAAATATAAATAGGTCATCCGTTGGGCTATGTCTGTAATTCTAGAAAACGGAACTGCGTAATTCTATGCTCAATTTTGTAAGTTGTGCAAAAATTGATGTAAAACTGACTAACAATTTACTTGAAATCGGGCGAAAATATATATGGAAGCTCTATCCAAATATTAAGCGATTTCAAAAAAATATATATGGAAGCTCTATCCAAATATTAAGCGATTTCAAAACAAAACTTGTCACAGGTTAGGTTATACTAATTTCAGAACGTTTTGTTCCTATCAGCCTATTGGTTCCTTGGTGCGTCAATTACTTAAAGTAAATCTATATTAAAAGGGAGCTATATCAAATCTGGACCGATTTTCACGAAACAAGGCAGACATAACTCTAGGCTCAATTCAGTACGTTATGCCAAATTTCGTGCAAATCGAAAGATATATAGCGACTTTGGTGTACCATTTACATGAAATCGGACGAAACTATATATGGGAGCTATATAGAAATCTGGACCGATTTTCTCGAAACTTGGGAGACATCACTCTAGGCTCAATTCAGTACGTTATGCCAAATTTCGTGCAAATCGAAGGATATATAGGGACTTTAGTGCACCAATTATATGAAATCGGACGAAACTATATATGGGAGCTATATCTAAATCAGAACCGATTTTCACGAAACTTGGCATACATCATTCTAGGCTCAATTCAGTACGTTACGCCAAATTTCGTGCAAATCGAAAGATATATAGGGACTTTGGGGCACCATTTACATGAAATCGGACGAAACTATATATAGGAGCTATATCTAAATCTGGACCGATTTTCTCGAAACTTGACAGACATCACTCTAGGCTTAATTCAGTACGTTATGCCAAATTTCGTCCAAATCGAAGGATATATAGGGACTTTGGTGCACCATTTATATGAAATCGGGCGAAACTATATATGGGAACTATATCTAAATCAGGACCGATTTTCACGAAACTTGGCAGACATCATTCTAGGCTCAATACAGTACGTTATGCCAAATTTCGTGCAAATCGAAAGATATATAGGGACTTTGGGGCACCATTTACATGAAATCGGACGAAACTATATATGGGAGCTATATCTAAATCTGGACCGATTTTCTCGAAACTTGGCAGACATCACTCTAGGCTCAATTCAGTACGTTATGCCAAATTTCGTACAAATCGAAAGATATATAGGGACTTTGGGGCACCATTTACATGAAATCGGACGAAACTATATATGGGAGCTATATCTAAATCTGGACCGATTTTCTCGAAACTTGGCATACATCATTATAGACCTAAATGATTAGGCTGTACCAAATTTCGTGCAAATCGAAAGATATATAGGGACCGTTTACATTAAATCGGTAAAATATATATATGGGAGCTATATCTAAATCTGAACCGATTTTTCCCAATTTCAATAGGGTTCGTCCTTGGGCCGAATAAGTGACCTATGCCAAATTTCATTCAATTCGGATCATAAATGCGACCTGTACTTTGTTTACAATTTAACATGCACAGACAGACAGACAGACGGACGGACGGACATGCATAAATCGACTTAGAAAGTGATTCTATGCATATTCTCAAAAGGAACCATGTGTCTATCTCGTTTCCTTTTGCCTGTTACAAACATATGCACAAAGACATAATACCCTGTACCACAGTGTGGTGAAGGGTATAATTAAAGTTCCACTAAACGTATTCGTTAAAAATCTTAACAGACATACTTCTCGACAGACATATTGTTTTTAATTATATAAGATATCAATTGGAAGTGGAAATTATACTATACCACATTAATGTGGTATACCACATTATCTGCACTTTTTTTGAAATCACTTTTAATGGAATTTCAAATATTTTCTCAAATATCTCTTAAATTGTTAGAATAATATTATTTTCAAATTGATACATGGTACATTAATCGGATGATACATGATACATTAATCGGATAAAAAATAAAAATTTGGCAATCTAAAAACAAATGGGTATGCCACATTTGCATCACCTCCTATAGTTGAATTAAGTATAAAACACCTACATACAATTATGAAAACCACTCAGGTTTTTACTTTTCATTTCCAATTTTTCTGAAATATATGTTTGAATATATATTTTCCTTATTTTTGATGACGGGCATGATAACTGCTCACTGGAACATCGGAATCCGAAAATTCCAACGGTGTTAGAAAGAGTACATGTCTGGCCCTCGTATGAACTAGGATTATTGACTTCGCTCTAAAATTAACAAAATGGCGGACCTTTGATTTTTGACCAAAAACCAAGTTAAAAAATAAGGAAGATCTTCACCGATATGATTTATCCTATTTCATACGATAGCTATACACTCACAGAGAAACGTGTAAAAATTTGCAATCGATTGGGTCATTAATTTTTGGAGTTATCGTGTCCGCCATTCACAAAAGAGAAAAACGCGTTTAAAGTTTGAGATGCCCTTTAGCCGTCACTTGATGCTGACACAATAAATCGGCTATATTTTCAAGAGTTCTTGAGATTTTCACTTCAAATTTTGTAGGGACATTCGTGAATTAGTGTAGATTCGAATTAAATAAAAAAAGTTTACCCCGAGAATGGGGGGTCCCCTTAAATGAAAACAATTTGTCACAGCTGGGAGATATTTCTTCCCAAATCATGTCGTTTCGCTAATTTCATGCGTTTTTAGTCATATGTTGAAAAATGTTAAACACAACAACTTGTTGTGTATATTTATTTTATATTTACTGGAAGAATCAACAACCAACAAAATTGATGTTTGTTATTCACCTTGTAATAACGGCGGTATAAAATAAGTCCCCAAATTTGGGGGCTTATTTATAATATGAAATAACTCCCCACCGAAATGAAGGAACTCTCCAAAATAAAATGAAATAAGTCCCTAAAACGGGGACTTATTTCATAATGAAATAAGACCATAATTCGCAAAATGTAATTGCAATTTTAGAAAAATGAAATAAGTCCCCAAATTCTCATTAGGGACTTATTTCATTTTAAATTTTTGGGGGGTTTTTTCATAATGAAATAACTCCCCAAATTTTAAAATGAAATAAGTCCCCAATTATAGTTGTTTTTGTTTTGTGTATAAAAAATTGGGGACTTATTTCATTTTCTGTTTGGGGACTTTTTTCATACCGCCGTAATATCAATTACTAGAATAAATAAAATTTACCACATATCCGCTATAACGTCGATAGTTCTCCCTTTTATGCAATACTACTGCGTACAGCGATAAAAAATTTGGACTGTATAGGCAATTTGTTCTATTATGTGTATACAGTACATCAGTGCGGTTTCTTTGTGTTGGGTAATCACTTCAAATCAACATACATACGAACATAAGTAACCGCACAGTTGAGTGCCTGAAACAGCTGGTCTTTGTTTATCATTCACTTTATAAAGGGAAGTCAGTGTCGTCATTTTGGTCAGTCGTATTGGTTGGTCGGTTGTTGTTTTCGCCTGGTGCGTTATTTTTGTTTGTTTATTCATTTTTGTTCCAAATTAATTGATCATGTCGTCGTCGGGGGAAGATGTTTTGGTTCAGTTCACCAACTGTAGATTGGTAAGGAACCATCAGCTCATCAAAGATGATTTATGGATACGGAATGGACGAATCGTCAATCCGGAGCCGGTGTTTTTCGATGAAAAGAAGTTGGCACACAAACGATACGATTGCAATAATGCCATTATTGCAGCGGGGTATATTGACCTCCAAATCAATGGTATGTTCATGGAAATGCTGTTGTTGTTGTTATTTTATATGAATTGTTATCTTTATTTGGTGTACTCAAATTTAAATGAAAAACAAACGAAAGCAATAGCTCCAGCACTGAATTAGAGCTTGGAGCAATTGAACTAGAATATCTTTTGTACATATTAAATATTCAATTGTATTCCCAAACCTAAGCATTTTTGGAAGAACTAATTGAATCGAAATATATTCTAATTACATTGGTGTACACTTTGACCTCTGGAAAGCACAGTGTTTAAAAACACAACAATGCTGCAAGAATCAACTTCGTTTGCTACGATAACAAATTTTACTTTGTGATATCCAACAAATAGTAATACAATTATATATATATATATAAATTAGTACATGTACACAAAGTCTAAATATGCGTGAATAACAACTAGTTTTTTATTTTTTAAAATATTAAGTCCATAAAATATAAAGACCATAAACAATCTTCGCAAATTGGCATTAAGTTTTAATAATCTGTAGTTGTTCAGTTATTATTAAAAATCATCATTGATCCAATTACATTTCCCTGAGAAATTATCAACAATATTTGCAATCATTTGTTATGTGTATTTTTAATAACAAGATTATCTTATCAGAAAAAAGATGTCGATGGTTCTAATGTAGGCCAAGATTTCAATTGGTCATTGTAGTAGACGCTATTAACTAATGAAATATGTTGTTTTTTAAGATTTTTGGATTTGTAACGCCAATTCTTTACTATAATTTTGAGGAATTCAAAGCACATTGTTGTTGTAGCAATCATATTATGAGTACAAATTCCGGTTCGAAGACCCGACCATCGTTCGTCGAAGTTCATCATTTATAATAATGTTACCACTATATCTTCTATATATAGCATTTCCAGATTAAATGAAACCTTTTACAAATTAAATGAAACCTTTTCCAAATTAAATGAAACCTTTTCCAAATTAAATGAAACTTTTTCCAAATTAAATGAAACTTTTTCCAAATTAAATGAAACCTTTTCCAATTGGAATGAAACCTTTTACAAATGGAATGAAACATTTTCCAAATTAAATGAAACTTTTTCCAAATTAAATGAAACCTTTATTCTTATCCACGGAAATATATTTCCAGTAATTTTTAATCAATATTTGAAAATTAAATCAAAGAATATTAACAACTATAGTTGTATGGCTATGTAATTAACATAAATATTCTTTAATTCGGTGTGATTTTATTTTATATCTTTACTAAATTACACTTAAAAAATAGTAATACAAACTGGGGTATTTCTTGACATTTTAATAAATAAATATTTTAGAACAAGTATTGAATACCCGGTCCTAAATGCGAAATACATATTTGATTTAAAAAATTGTTGATGATAAGGTAACAGCTTATCATAATGAAGAGGTTCCCGACTTGTAGCTTGTGAGATTTTCAAAACCATGTCCATAACGTAGTTAGAATTATCTTGCCGAGTAAGCTGTTGAATACTTCGCTCGATTACATCAACAATGTTATGTTCCATTGAAACGTCACACAGTTTAGCTCTTGTACATAATTTTATTTTTGGAAATGCTTTTTTCGATTGGATTTACCATTGGAGAATAAGGCGGTAAGAATTTAAGGTTGCATCTTTTGGATTCGATCAAATTTTTTATGTAATATCGCTTGTGTGTTGGAGCGTTATCCATTATCAAGAACCAATTTTTCAACTCTGGATTGATTTTCTGATTTTTTTTTTATTTAGTAAAGATATAAAATAAAATCACACCGAATTAAAGAATATTTATGTTAATTACATAGCCATACAACTATAGTTGTTAATATTCCTTGATTTAATTTTCAAATACTGATTTAAAATTACTGGAAATATTATATTTCCTTGGATAAGAATAAAGCTTTCATTTAATTTGGAAAAAGTTTCATGTAATTTGGAAAAGGTTTCATTTAATTTCGAAAAAGTTTCATTTCATTTGTAAAAGGTTTCATTCCAATTTGAAAAGGTTTCATTTAATTTGGAAAAGGTTTCATTTAATTTGTAAAAGGTTTCATTTAATGTGGAAATGCTATATAGCATTTCCAGATTATCCAAATTAAATGAAACCTTTTCCAAATTAAATGAAACCTTTTCCACTTGAAATGAAACCTTTTACAAATAGAATGAAACCTTTTCCAATTGAAATGAAACCTTTTACAAATAGAATGAAACTTTTTCCAAATTAAATGAAACCTTTATTCTTATCTAAAGAAATATAATATTTGCACTAATTTTAAACCAATATTTGAAAATTAAATCAAAGAATATTAACAAATATAGTTGTATGGCTATGTAATTAACATAAATATTCTTTAATTCGGTGTGATTTCATTTAATATATTTACTACATAAAACTAAATAAATAGTAATACAAACTGGGGTATTTCTTGACATTTTAATAAATAAATATTTAAGAACAGGAATTGAATACCCGGTCCTTAATGCGAAATACATATTTGACTTAATAAATTGTTGATGATAAGGTAACTGCTTATCTTAATGAAGGGGTTCCCGACTTGCAGCTTGTGCGATTTTCAAAACCATGTCCATAACGTAGTTAGAACAATCTTGCCAAGTAAGCTTTTGAATACTTCGCTCGATTACGTCAACAATGTTATGTTCCATTGAAACGTCACACAGCTCAGCTCTTGGACATAATTTTATTTTTGAAAATGCATTTTCGATTGGATTTAGCATTGTAGAATAAGGCGGTAAGAATTTAAGGTTGCATCTTTTGGATTCGATCAAATTTTTTATGTCATGTCGCTTGTGTATTTGAGCGTTATTTTCCAACTCTGGATTGATTTTCTCAAAAAAATTTCTATAAATAATTTAAATCTGTCTGCATTGACACTGGAATTAGAAACGATTGTGTGATGTACAACTCCCGTGTTGTTTATTGCTGCAATTATAGTGACATTACGACCTCTGACCGTAAGCAACGCAATGTGTGCTCTTGTCCCTTGTCTTGAACGGGCTTTGGTTCTTCGTATGTGAAGATTAAATCCACACTCTTCAATGAATATTAATTTTTTGGAACATTGAAGGAAAATAAGCGTGGAGGAAATAGAACTAAGTTGTTGACACCACAAGTTTTAAGTCTGATCGAGTTCTATATAGAAAGTCAACCTGGAATTACCCTCAAAGCCATAAAAACTAAACTGTTGAGAGAAAATGATATAAATATTTCCACAAGCTGCATAGAAAATGGATTACGGAAATTAAAAATTACGTTGAAGAGGACCTCTATTAAAATAGAACGAATGAATGACTCCAGAACATTAGGCTTGAGACAAAAATATGCTCAAGACTTTACAAAATGGATACCCCAACAAGAAGAAAAATTAATATTCATTGATGAGTGTGGATTTAATCTTCACATACGAAGAACCCAAGCCCGTTCAAGACAAGGAACAAGAGCACACTTTGTGTTGCTTACGGTCAGAGGTCGTAATGTCACTATAATTGCAGCAATAAACAACGCGGGAGTTGTACATCACACAATCGTTTCTAATTCCAGTGTCAATGCAGACAGATTTAAATTATTTATAGAAATTTTTTTTGAGAAAATCAATCCAGAGTTAGAAAATAACGCTCAAATACACAAGCGACATGACATAAAAAATTTGATCGAATCCAAAAGATGCAACGTTGCAATGGAACATAACATTGTTGATGTAATCGAGCGAAGTATTCAAAAGCTTACTCGGCAAGATTGTTCTAACTACGTTATGGACATGGTTTTGAAAATCCCACAAGCTGCAAGTCGGGAACCCCTTCATTAAGATAAGCAGTTACCTTATCATCAACAATTTATTAAGTCAAATATGTATTTCGCATTTAGGACCGGGTATTCAATTCCTGTTCTTAAATATTTATTTATTATAATGTCAAGAAATACCTCAGTTTGTATTACTATTTATTTAGTTTTATGTAGTAAAGATATTAAATGAAATCACACCGAATTAAAGAATATTTATGTTAATTACATAGCCATACAACTATATTTGTTAATATTCTTTGATTTAATTTTCAAATATTGGTTTAAAATTAGTGCAAATATTATATTTCCTTAGATAAGAATAAAGGTTTCATTTAATTTGGAAAAAGTTTCATTCTATTTGTAAAAGGTTTCATTTCAATTGGAAAAGGTTTCATTCTATTTGTAAAAGGTTTCATTTCAAGTGGAAAAGGTTTCATTTAATTTGGAAAAGGTTTCATTTAATTTGTAAAAGGTTTCATTTAATCTGGAAATGCTATATATAAAAGAGCTTAGTGTTAAGTGAGTGAGTGACTGACAGATCATCGCCCTGACGAAACGGCTAAAGCTAGAAGCTTGAAATTTTGTGTGTGGGTTGGTGTTGGTGTGTAGGCGTGAGATAAGGCTGGGTTTTTGGAAACTCGAACTAGAAGGGTACGAAAAGTACTAAAATGTACCAAATATGGTACCCTTTGTATTAGGCGAACGGGAAGAGCTAGAATTCTGAAATTTAGAATGTGGGTCACTGATGTAAAGTTAGGAAGATGTACAAAAGCGTTTTTGGAAATTCGTACTAGAACGGTACGAAAAGTACTAAATATGATACCATTTGTATTTGGCGAACCGGTAGAGCTATAACTCTGAAATTTGGATTGGTAGACGCTGAGTGTAGGATAGATGTACCAACGGGTTTTTGGAAATTCGAACTATAAATATCCAAAAAGTACTAAAATGTACTTAATTTTGTACAATTTCGTAGCATGTGAATTGATAGAGCTAAAAACTTGAAATTTGGAATGCGAATTAGGGATGAGATGTAGAGTCCATTTAAGGAGATGGTTTTGAAAGCGTGTACTCATGTGTACGAAAAGTACTATATATGATACTATATTTGGAACAAATTTAATTTGGAGATCCAAATCAAGCTGGAATCCTGAAATTTGAAATTAACATTATCGTCGGAGTGTAGGATTGGGAATGTACGTAGTTT